CTGGAAGATTGCAGTTGCTTCACCACTGTTTATTGGCTTTAGAATGTCCACCATTAGGCAATTTACCAAAATTAACATCCCATTATCCTCCTCCTCTGCGAGCTAATGCAGCAATCCTTTCCCAAAGCTACTGTAATCGCCTTTAAGGCTCAATGGTCTTGACTTTCGGTTAATTTTCAGCGCTTGTTTTTGCAATATTCTATATTTCTGTAGGCTCACTCAAGAAATGCGTTTTTTTATTACAACAGAACATAATAATCCTACTTTGACAACTACTGATCAAAACAATGCGTGTCTATATACTGCAATACTGCCCCCAAAATTGTTATTGACATTATTTGTGATTATGAAATACCCTAGCCAACGTGTTCCAGGCCAAAGTAACGCCTTGTTTTTTAAGAGCGAGCAGGTATTTTTAGCGCAAAGCACTATCTTTAGTCCTACATGGGTAATAAGAAACCCTAATAGCCAATTTTCTTAGCTTGACCCAAATTGTTAGAACATCAGTGGCGTAGTGTCTGGGTATTCAAGGTATCCAGTGAATACCCTGAGATCTTTAGAGAAATTATATAAATGGAATTAAATTTCAAAAATGCTTTGGTGATAATTGTTTGTGACTAATTTTGTTGCCTTTCAATATGTTGTCTTTGATACAGATTCAAAATAGCACGAAATTCACGGAAAAGAAGACATAGTTAATGTGACGAAGTGTTTGGAAGCTTGGAAATTTGAGAGGGTAATATCGAAGATCAAACTACTCAATGCTGAATGGAGATCAGTCACGAACTCGCAGATAATACCCTAGACCAGGGGTTTTTCAGTTTTTTGAGCGCCTGGCCAGAAAAACATAGATTTTACGTAGATTGTTTTCGTAGGCCAATTAATTTTCATTTCATCGTTACCATGCTTTATTAGAGAAAAAGATAGACCGGTCAACTATTTCTTTATTCATAAAATCTTTCCAGTGTGCTTATTTACACGAAATAAGTCTTGGGAAGGTGGATGACAGAAGGGAACGAGGGAGGCGGTACTGACTTTGAAGGACATGGTGCTGGCTAGATGCTGGTGGGATTGGCTCAATGTGCATTACACGTCGGATTTACACGCCGAAGGCCAGGGATAACTGTTTGGTGGAGATTGGGGCCAAAAGCCTCCAAATGTAGCATAGTAAATAAACACAAAAAATGTTTAACACAAAATCTGTTAAGTTTACGACTTTTTTTGTTCAAGGTTGAATCAAAAGATCGTTGTTTTGCCCCCACTCTGCAATTTTTAAGTTGGGACGTTAATCTTTGTAAGACTCTTTTTAGGTCGACTTGAAGTGCTTAAAGTCAGAAATGATGATTGTTGTTGTAGTTATTATAGAACGCCACCAACTTTGGCGGCAAGAAAAATTTTAGATTGAACTAGTCTAAGAATGATGACCAGAAACTGCATCTAAAATTGATTTAAACGAGAGAAAGTTATATATTAAATTAATACGAGACAATATTTTTGAGGCAAAAGAATTTGCTGGGCGGGATTAAATCTCGTTGCGGGCCTCAGTTGGCTCGCAAGCCTCAGAATGGCTGCCACCAATCCTTTCATACGAATGATTTTCAATCGGCAAGAACAACGGCCAAGTACGCCGAGATTTATGCAGCGTACAGTCTCATATTTTGTTCAAGATAGTCTCTCTTTGAGGTCAATAAAAACAATTTATGGAGGAGGAGGTCGAATTTTATATCTTCGAATTTGTCAAAATTGGATCATAGAATTGGAATCTTCATGTTGAAATTAGTCTGTGCCGAAATTTCATGTTATTTGAGCCGTCAGGCAGCGAATTCTCCTATTATCCTATGAGTTGGACGAATTGAAATTCGGGCCGCCCTGAGATTCGGTTTTTCAAACCGGTTTGAAGTTTCAAGCCGGCGTGAAAAGTTCATGTGAACAAGATTTTTTAAAATTGGCGGGAACTTAACATGTAAATCATTTCTCTGTGCGTCCAGTGTTTTCCAATCTCGTTGTCTCTACCTTTTTTTAACCTAAACTGCTTGAGAAACTTCTTTTTACAGCACCTGATTCTTGCATGTGTGAAAACGCAGTAGTCATCAATTCATTCCAACCGATTTGAAAAAATCAATGTGAACGCGAAGGAAATTAGCTCACCCGAACTGAACTCAGGCCGGCGTGAGTTTCAAATAGGCCTGGGATTTCTCATGTGAAGGGCCTCTAACTCGCGACCGAATGATCCAAACAGCATGAAGTTCTCAGTATAAACTAATTTCAAGACGATGATTTCAAATTTTTGAGAAGGGTCTGTAGATAGTGAGATACAGAATCGATGATATCGACCCGGAACGGTGAATGGAGTCGGAGTGTTTCGAACTTTATCAAAACAACAATTACGATTGTATCTCTAAGAATTATTGAATGTTAGTGTTACTGCTTTGTAACAATCCTCTTTTTGGACCACAAATCTACCAACAGCAAAAGTAGGCTGCACATAGGTTTAGCTGTATGCTGTCCTCGTAGGGTAGGCCAATTTTACAATCGTTTGTTGGTAAGGAAGGTTTGCTATTTGTATTTTGTGATATAGTAAATTTAGAAAGGCTTAAAAATTCCCTTTCAAGTTGCCTAGTGTATTCAAGTATATTTGCCTGAGCGAAAAGTAATAAGCAAAAAGCTGTCGCATGAAAAGTTTTTGTCGAAAAATTGTAAGATGGGCAAAAAGGCTAGAACAAGAGTATAGAACAAGAAACTGTGGAGACCTGCAAATTCCCAAAATTAGGTTAGAGCAGGGGTCGGCAACCTTTATAAAACAGGGGGCCAAATTTGATTATTGAAATGCATACAAGGGCCGCAACTCAAAATACAGTATAATTTTAATAACCTAACTACTAATCTAATCAATAAAAATGTGTCTATCGGAAAATGTACTGTAACGTGGAAGCTGTACGTAAATACAAACATAGATGTAAAGTATATGTTCACTGTTCAGTGTATTACAAGAAGCTAATGGGCAACTTGGTGCTGCACGTCCTTGGCCAACTTCTCAATATTTGGCAGAATTGTTGATGTTGGCAGCCGCAAGTTGCCTTCAAGGTGCTGATCAGTCATGCGAGATCGCAGTCGACTCTTTGCATGCTTCATCTTTGAGAAGAGACTTTCGCAAAGGAGAGAAGTACTTCCAAACATGCAACACATCTTCTTGGCATGCTGCACCAGACCTTGATATGAACCATCATCCACCATGGAGATACTCTATATAAAACGGGATTATCTGAGTTTCCTTCTATTTCTGTTTCAATTCACTGGTACCCTGCAGCTCGATCAACTCCATTTGAAGATGGAAAGTGAACCAAGTTCCATTGATTCAGCTGAGTTTTCCAAAGATGTAGCATAAGCAGGAACATGACATGTTCATACATGACATTCACAAAATGATAATGGCCTTGAAGCTTCTTCTTCAGCTTGTTCGAGAGACTAGTAATGTTAACGAGGAATGCTAATCTAGGCAAGAATCTAAGATCACTGAATCAATATCGAGCTGACACTCGCGCATTTGGCCAAATTATTTACAGGTTAACAGGGGCCTTCCGGGCCACACAAAAGTACCTTCCGGGCAGCGGGTTGCCGACCCCTGGGTTAGAGTATGCAAAGCGAGGTTTCTATTTCTCTGGTGTCAAAAAACTGGAATGATATCCCTAACAACATTCGAGGAAAAGAATCCATCGCTCGTTTTGAAACAGGTATTAGAGAGTAACTTTTGGAACTTCCACAGGACCCAAACACGACCCCTTGGTAGAGCAAAAATATGCAAATAGTTCTTTTTTAATAGTTCTTTTTTTGTAAATAGTTATTTTTTGCTGAAAGGTATCTCGTGTACATAAATAAATATTGATTGATTGTATACTGAGCATGCGCTGTTAGTGCAACTGTTGTCGCAGGATGGGTCGGATTCAGAGATGAAGCTATGGGGTGTCATGGTGGGCAGCTGCCCTCCAAGACTTTGCAATGACACCCTGTCGGAAGCCAAATATAAGAAAAAATAAAAAACTGTTGGCCCTTTAAAACTGTCAGTTGTGGAATTTACCTTTTTAAAAGAACCAGAAAAGAGAAATTTCTGCTGCAGTGGAAAGCTTAAACGATAATCGTACAAAATCTTCACAGGTTTCGCCCGGCAGCTTTTCGCTCAGTGGAAAGTAAGCTTTAACCGCCATTATGATTATGTGCAGTTATGTGCTCACTATCTTCAATGCTGCCTTTGGGAAAAGGGCTTGGAATTCATTTCACAAAGTATTAATAGCCGCATGTAATGCCCTCCGTGAATATTTTCGACATTCTCTGTCAGCATGTTGCATGAAAGTGTCATGTGTAGCAGCTATTGTGAGCACTTTGTTTATCGTTTACACCGACTGAAAGGATATCATAGTACACTAAGTTAGCAAAACCAAGGAACCAAAACAAGGTTCCGTCGACACGGTGGTGGATATTTTTTAAAACGCCATTATTTTTATCTGTTTTAAAAAAGTCTTTGTCTACATTATGAGCGTCCACACCGAAAGTAAGGGAAGAAGAAACTTTTTTTACGCAAAGATAAACCTTTATTAAGTTTAAAGAATATCTTAGAATATCCAATAAATTGTTGGTTCTTTGAAATTTTTCCTCCTTCTATACCAGCCGTTCTGGTCCTATGAACCCTACCGACGATCCTGCGACGCTGCGCAATCCTTGGGGAAGTTGTTGTAGCCTCGGTTCCAGCTTTTCAGCCAACGAACACGGCGGGAACGAACACCATGTTGGATTGCACGACTCGGCCATGGACGAAGGTCGAGATTGCAGTTTCATTCCCTTGTTCTTATCAACCAATCTTGGACACATCTATTTACAATCAGCTTAAACGCAAGCTGCTATAAACTACGTAAAAATGCTGTTCTGGGAGGAATTCAAAAGAGGGCGGTTGCAACACGAACTGGCATCATCATGAAGAAAATCTCAGCAACTTCGTTGCGGTATGTTGCCAACTTCTTTTCTCACCTGATTATTTTTGGCAAATTTGTATTTGTGCAAATTATGGTATTTTTAATGCCAGTGGTTGATTATGAAAAGGGAACCCCCAAATGCAACCTGCAAGCTGGCATTCGTGGTTAAGGTTGCCAGGCGGGCGAGGTTCAAACCAGCTCACTTAGCAGTGCAAAGCAGCATCACATTTCGACTCTTTCATCAGTTCCGTAATTACTGCATTGAGAGGGAAAATTGGAATAGCAATTTAGGAGGGCCGTTTCTTTACATTAAATGTGTGCTTATACTGCAGCATGCACTGGTCCTAAACTTGATGTTGCTGGAAATGGTTGACATAGAATGTCCAATGTAAGAAAATGAGCTACCACATGTTACAACCTACCTTGCAGCTTAAAAGTCAGCAGTTACATTAATGTTTTTAGTTACTAAGAAAGTTTCTTTTACCAATTTTGTATATATTTAGCTGTAATAACTAAATTTTGTCATTGGCTAGCAGTTTGATTCTTGAAAGACAACATATTCACTGAGGTTACACTTTTACCCCTGCAAAAACCCAAGCATGGTTCACAGGCTAACCATAGTTTGCAATGGTCCTACCATGGTTGAACCATGATTCTGACAAGTTCTGACCATGGCTAGTGACAATGGTTGATCAATGAAATAAGATTTTGCCTGCAAAGAACTTAACTTGTTTGTTCTTTGAGAATGTTGATTCTGGACTGTGTAAGAAGTTACCCTGAATAGAAAGAAAAGAAAAGAGAACAACTGTCTGTATTTGCTATCATTTTACCATGGATGACCAGGTCAAAACCTGATCATTGCTGTCCCATTGCTGAACCATGGTTCATTTCTCAACTGACTTTTCATAAAATGGCAAATAAATTTTACATTGAATAGTTTTGATTTCAGTAATTTTCTTTTGGAGACACATTCCCTTGTCCCTTAAATCCTAAAACATTAAATTTTTTATCAATTTGAAATGTTTTATGAGTATTTTGTCTGACAATTGCTGACTCATTGCTGAACCATGGTCAATTTCTCAACTGACATTTTCTAAAATGGCAAATTACTTTTACATTGAATAGTTTGTTACACTATTTTTTGTGGTCTGGTTTCACTATTTTTTTGTGGATTTATTTTACTGTTTTTTGGCCATAAAGCATTTATTTCTCTGAATTTGAAATGGTTAATGAAAATATGGACCAACTGTTGCTGACCCGCTGCTGAACCGTGGTCCATTTTTTAACTGACAGGTTTCTCATCCTGCTTTCTCCAAAACTGCTGGCTGCCTTTGAATATCATTAAATTTTAAATTTTAATGGTTTTAGAAATATATTGAAAATATCTTTTCACATGATATATATATTTATAAAATCAAAGATATATACTTAAGATTTTCATCAGATTTGCAAGAATATCAATCTTTGAAAAATATCTGATGAAAGCAACTGACAAGGTACCAGGGTCATAAGAGTGGATTCTTGGGATTTTTCTCAGATAACTTTTTATTCCTATAACATGGTACAAACAAGCATATCAATACAAGATTGTCAGCAAATTGGAATATTCTATTGAAGTGCTTCTGTACAATTGCTCTAACAGTTCTTTGTGGTATCTTATGGATGCATTACCATTGAAGCCAGGTTTTAAATATTTCAGAATAAAAAAGTCTTGCCAGTTTCATTCTTAGCCAACAAAACAAACTTATTATCTCAAATAAAAGCAAATCAGGCCTCTCGGTTTCTGGCATGTGATTGCGTGCCATGCACCTGTAGTGGTGCCAAGGCGCACATGGATGTGATGCACAACTAGCAATATTGTCCACCTCATCCATATGCATTTACAATTACTATTTTATCTGCAACATTGTCTTGTTGCTCTGTGGAATCATTTTTAAAGTACAGCCTTCACCATCTAGGCAATCCCTTGACCAGTGGCGGCTTGGGGCGGTATTACTGTTATTAGTCTAATAGCAATTCTTTTCCAGCAGAAAGTTTTCTTGACAGAATATTTCTTTATCATTTACAAAGTACGTCCTAAAAATCAGTTCACTCCGCTCTCAGTTTTGAGTGCATTCCGATAACAAGGTGAAAGGGCTTTATCAAAAACCGAATTGTTTCCGCTAATTCCTTTCAAGTAGACAGACACCTCAGATGCCATTCGTGACGTACCGCGTAAAGGCGGCTGGTGCCAATTGCCGCAACCACTACCCAGGAATGTTGCTATTCATTTCATGAACGTTAATAGCAACTTCCTAAAATGTCTTTGTTTGGTATGCATTTGCTTACGTCAAACAGCCGCCTCACGCGATACTGAATCACGCTATATAAGTGGCCCTGCTATTCGCCGACCCATTTCTAATAGCAACTTTTCCGTACTGTTGGCATATCGTGTGCAAAATGAACCGTGCTCTTGATACTGGTTTTCATTGGGGTGTAGCGCAGATATTTTCTCTGCTTTCCTCGCAACGACAATTAACACACCAACAACGACTTCGTTTGAAAGCTGATGGTCGACCATGTCCGAAGGTGACTTTAAAAAACCGATCCTCTGATGTTGTGTATGAAAATTTTTCTTGGATATGCGGTGATCAAGAAAAAAATACTTACTTCTGTTGGCCATGCCTAGTGATGGGAGATCTTTCAAGAGTAAGTACTTGAAATAATTTGATATTTTCTTTAAACATTCGTCCTTTTAACTGCGCTTAACTTTCACTATACGTAATTATTAAGAAAAAAGTAACAATTCAGAATATCTCTTTGGAATTTTGTAGGATATATTTATTCCGTTTTATTTATCGTTTTGTATTTATAAGTTCTTTCTGTATCGTCGGAAATGATATCAACTTTAAAATGTCCTTTTTCAACCGTAAATTTACCTTCAAGATTTTTGCTATTAGAAGTGGGGCCACTAATAGCAGCAAATATTGAGGCTACGGTCAGGTAGGCAGAGCCGTTCCTGTTTATTTGTCAAATTACACAATGAGATTTGTCAAAGGCACTAGTCTGCCTGCCCTGCCGTCATTGCTGAAACCCACAGCCGACAAAAAATCAATATCAATTCAATTTATCAATAAAAGTTGTGCATTTTCTTGTAGATGAAGAAAGTTTCATTTGTTCAAGAGCATGGTTTTCAATCCTCTGGCTCTAACCTTTGGAATATCGCTATCCGACACCAGGCCTCAAAAGTTCATATAGCAAATCACGTAAGCTATAATGTTTTGGGTAACACTGACGTTGCGAGTGCATTGGACGAAGAAAGACAAAGGCAAATTACGCAACATAATAATAATGCCACACTCTATGCCCGTATGCTTGAAAATCACATCAACGTGATAATTTTCTTAGCAGGGCAAGGGCTTGCCTTTCGGGGGCACGACGAATCATCCCTGTCATCCAATAGAGGAAATTTTATTGAATTATTGGAACTTATTGGAAAATACAGCCAGGATCTGAGAGAATTCTTAACAAAGCAGCATGTTACTTACACATCACATGAGCCTCAGAACGATTTGATTAAGTGTGTTTACCAAGAGGTCCGAGCAGAAATTCAACGACGCATTGATAACTCAAAATTTCTGGCTGTTATGATGGATGATACCAGTGACACCAGCAACATCGAGCAATCAGCAGTCTCAATTCGACTTATTTATGATGGAAAAGTAGAGGAGCACTTACTGGCAATGGCAAACTCTTCAGGCGATCAATCAGCAGACGGACTGAGAGCAATTCTCATGGAAACATTGAAAAGCTACAACATTACACCAGAAAACTGTGCGGAAAAACTTGTCGGTCAATCCTATGATGGAGCCCCATCCATGAGTGGTGAATTGAGTGGGGTGCAAAAGCAAATACAGGATATATTCCCTTTTGCATACTACAACCACTGCGTCGCACATAGACTGTCACTTTGTGCTTCCCAAACTTCAAAGAAAATTCCAAGGATCTGCAAATTTTTTCACAATGTGGACAAAATTGTGACATTTATTAGGAGCAGCCCTAAGCGTACGCATCTTCTAGGACGAAATATGCCAAAACCTGGGGATACGCGATGGCTGTCACGTGATTCTGCTTTGACGGCAATCGATAGCAGTTACGAAGAGCTCGGGTCCTTGTTCTATGCGATGTCCAAAGATCCAAAAGAAAAGGCTGAAACTAAAGCAACTGCAAGTGGATTCTGTGTGCAACTGCAAAATGTGGAATTTGTGTTTTTGCTAACGTTTTACAGGAAGCTTTTTGATCTTTGTACGCCGATAAGTTTGATGATGCAAAAACCCACACTGGATGCCGTTCAAGTAACGTCAATGCTCGAAGATTTTGATAGAGCATTAAAGAGATTTGATTACCAACAAATCTGGGAAGATACGCTGGGAAAGGACCCAGAGATACCGGTGGTACGCGTAAGAGATGGATGGCGTGGGGTGGAAGAATCAATCAATGGTGCACCCGCAAGTTGGAGGGAAACTTTGACGGATCTCGCAAAAAAATGTACAGCAACATTTTCAAACCAGCTTGCCTGGAGATTCCAGAACTTAGCAAAATTCAAATGGATGGATCTTATCCATCCTGCAAAATTTGAAGAAAGGAAAAAAGCTAGTCTTCAAGAGCAAAGAGCGTTGCTCAAAGAACTCTGCTCAGTTTACTCGTTTGCATTTCCAGATGAAATTGCTCTTGAGCATTGTCTTTCCGTCCTGTACGATAACATGGAAGTAGCTGCCCTTCTACGTAAAGTTGTTAAAGAAAGAGACGCGGCGATTGCTAAAAAGAAGAAAAAGCGATTACAACTGGCAGCTAAAAGAAACAACGAAGACACCGAAGTTGCTACTACTAGCAGCACAGAGGAAGAGAGAGCCCTTGTCGAAGTCAGTGATGAGTTTTCTGCGCAGACTGGTTTGGATATTGAGGACGAGCACGTAAAGGAGGGTAAACCGACTTTACAAGATTTACTAGACGTCTTTCGAAGGACAGGCCTCCAAGAAGCTCTCCCGCAAGCTGTTACCTTGATGGAATTGGCAACAGTAACCCCGCTAACCAGTGTTCACTGCGAACGCGTTTTTAGTCGATTGAAAAGAGTTGTGTCACCCACTAGGTCAACAATGCTACAAGAAAGGAAGGAAATGTTGGTGTTTCTGCAAGTGGAGCACCAACTATTGCGGTGGTTGGCTCAACAACCAGATTTTCATACAAACGTTATTGCACGCTTTAGTTCTTTTAATCAACGCCGAATGGAGCGCTTTTCTCGCAAATAATTTTTTTCAAATCTTCTTTTACTTAGAAATTAGAAAATTTGCAAAGATTTCCCTTTGTCTGTGTTTGTCGATTCGTCTTTTTCCTATCACTAATTGTGAAGTAAGTCATTTTAACGGCGGAAAAATTAGAAGATTAATGAATCTTAAATTCATGTCGAGTTACTTTGAAATGGGCGTATCCCCCATTCTCCAGCAAAGTAAAGGGCGTGGCATCCAAAAAAATTCGGGGGCTCCGCCCCCGGACCCCCTTTCTCATTTCTAATAGCAGTTCTGCAGTCCTTCCAGCCGCCACTGCCCTTGACACTATATAAATAATAAACACTGGAAAAATTTTTGTGTTGGTTGTGTGTGATAAAGGATTCACTTTCAATCAGTGTTACCCCATGGGCCACACACCTACTAAAATCGTTGTGGAGAGGCCTGCGATCCTTGTTTTTCTTCCCAGTGTATCTATTAGAGACTACATGGTGTTCAGAACGTACATTAAGGCTTTTAGGCTGTTTCGAGTAAAAAAAATTTTTGAACAATTTCAAATTTTTTCAACTTTTTAGCAGGTCACTAAATCACTGAGTCCTTATTTTGTAAATATGTGCATAATATTCACTGAAACTACCGAAAATGGTGTTCTGAACATAAATTAAGGCTTTTGACATTATTTCTAGAAATATTTTTTTTACAAAGTTCACATATTTTGAGATTTTTTCAAGTTTCAGTGTGAAACATGCTATAAATACTCTTTCCTACCATTTTCAGATACCACTTGGAGGCTCAACCAAATGTCTAGAAATGATTTCAGAAAGGTAAAATTTTAAGCTTGATATTGTTTCACGTAAAAATTTTTTTTGAAAAAATTTAAACATTTTTAACTTTTTGCAGGTCCGGGGGTAATGAATTTTTTAAAAAATCACCAAGTCCTTATTTTGAAAAAATCAGCATAAATTTCACAGAAACTACCAGAAATGGCGTTCAAAATGTATCTTGAGGCTTTTTAGGTTGTTTTGTGTAAAAAATTTTTTTTGAGAAATTTCAAGATTCTTCAATTTTTTTCCAGGTCTGGGGTCATGAGTTTTTTCAAAAATCACCAACTCCTTATTTTCAAAAAATCAGCATAGTTTTCACCGAAACGACCTGAAATTGCGTTAGAATGTATCTTGAGGCCTTTTAGGTTGTTTCAAGAAGCAATTTTTTTTCACAAATTTCAAGATTTTTCAAATTTTTTGCAGGTCCGGGGTCATGAATTTTTTCAAAAATCGCAAAGTCCTTATTTTCAAAAAATCAGAATAAATTTCATTGAAACAATCCGAAATGGCGTTCAGAACGTATCTTGAGGCTTTTTAGGTTGTTTCGAGGAAAAAAAATTTTTTGAAAAATTTCAAGATTTTTCAACTTTTTTGCAGGTCCTGGGTCATGAATTTTTTCAAAAATCACCAACCCTTCTTTTTCAAAAAATCAGCATAATTTATACCGAAACAACCCGAAATGGCATTCAGAATGTATCTTGAGGCCTTTTAGGTTGTTTCGAGAAAAATTTTTTTTTCACAAATTTCAAGATTTTTCAAATTTTTTGCAGGTCCGGGGTCATGAATTTTTTCAAAAATCACCAACTCCTTATTTTCAAAAAATCAGCATAAATTTCACCGAAACAACCCGAAATGGCATTCAGAATGTATCTTGAGGCCTTTTAGGTTGTTTCGAGAAAAAATTTTTTTTCACAAATTTCAAGATTTTTCAAATTTTTTGCAGGTCCGGGGTCATGAATTTTTTCAAAAATCACCAACTCCTTATTTTCAAAAAATCAGCATAAATTTCACCGAAACAACCCGAAGTGGCGTTCAGAACGTATCTTGAGGCTTTTTAGGTTGTTTCGAATAAAAAAATTTTTTTGAAAAATTTCAAGATTTTTCAACTTTTTTGCAGGTCCGGGGTCATGAATTTTTCAAAAATCACAAAGTCCTTATTTTCCTAAAATCAACATAAATTTCACCGAAACGACCCGAAATGGCGTTCAGAACGTATCTTCAGGCTTTTTAGGTTGTTTCGAGTAAAAAAATTTTATTTAAAATTTCAAGATTTTTCCACTTTTAGCAGGTCCGGGGTCATGAGTTTTTTCAAATATCACCAACTCCTTTTTTTCAAAAAATCAGCATACTTTTCACCAAAACAACCCGAAATGGCGTTCAGAACGTATCTAGAGGCTTTTTAGGTTGTTCCGAGTAAAAAATAATTTTTGAAAAATATCAGGATTTTTCAACTTTTTTGCAGGTCCGGGGTCATGACTTTTTTCAAAAATCGCAAAGTCCTTTTTTTCCTAAAATCAGCATAAATTTCACCGAAAAGACCCGAAATGGCGTTCAGAACGTATCTTGCGGCTTTTTAGGTTGTTCCGAGTAAAAAATAATTTTTGAAAAATTTCAAGATTTTTCAACTTTTTTGCAGGTCCGGGGTCATGAATTTTTTCAAAAATCACAAAGTCCTTTTTTTCCTAAAATCAGCATAAATTTCACCGAAAAGACCCGAAATGGTGTTCAGAACGTATTTCGCGGCTTTTTAGGTTGTTTCGAGTAAAAAATAACTTTTGAAAAATTTCAAGATTTTTCAACTTTTTTGCAGGTCCGGGGTCATGAATTTTTCAAAAATCACAAAGTCCTTTTTTTCCTAAAATCAACATAAATTTCACCGAAACGACCCGAAATGGCGTTCAGAACGTATCTTCAGGCTTTTTAGGTTGTTTCGAGTAAAAAAATTTTATTTAAAATTTCAAGATTTTTCCACTTTTAGCAGGTCCGGGGTCATGAGTTTTTTCAAATATCACCAACTCCTTTTTTTCAAAAAAT